GTATATCTGTGTATTATTATTGAGTATATCTGTGTATTATTATTGAGTATATCTGTGTATTATTACTGTTTATACCTGTGTGTTTTTTGGTGTGTATATCTGTGTATTACTGTTTATATCTATGTATTATTGATGTTTATATCTGTGTATTTATACTGAGTATATCTGTGTTTTATTGGTGTATACATCTGTGTATTATTACTGTTTATTTCTATTGGTGTGTATATCTGTGTACATCTGATTATTTATGTTCTCTGTTGTACAAAATGTAAAAACAAAAATTACTCATGTTCCAGATGTTTTACTTGAACTCACCATGACCCACTTCAGAGGGCCTGTTGGGCCCCGTGTGGCCCCGTGTGGCCCCGGAGCCGCAGGTTGCAGACCCCTGTTGCTCTGGAAAACTGATTTGTTTTGTCCTTTTTGAACAAATGACAAATGTGTTCAAAATGTATTTGTATCTGAAGACATGCATTTAAAACAAAGTGGTGACTTATTCAAACTTCAAGTTTTAGATCAATATTTTATTTTTATTTCATGGCTTGTACTTTAACATGCATGACTAAACTAATTTTAAATTAAAACACGTTGTTTTCATGAATAACATAGTCTCTTTTTAAAGTTTGCAGAACAAAATATTAAGTACGTAGAGCTTATCAGCCGGTCCAAAATGAAAAGTGTTTATTTGTTTTGTAAACAAAGTGTTTTCTCTGACGATGAGCCTCTCTACAAGTCTCCGAGTTGACTTTAATGTTTTTAATTTCCCCCTCCAGAGTTATGAATAAAGAAAAACAACAGAATGCACATCGCTGTCAGAGCGGCCCTGGCTGGTTCTGACATGTTTTCTTGTCACGGATCTTCTCGAGCTTTTCACACCGACCTGAGGCGGCAGCGAAGAACTGCCTTTTTATCCCTCGGCTGCTGATCAATCACTTAATCTCCTTAATAAGCCCCAATCAAAACTAATGGTGCATGTAATCTGTGTTTAAGTAAACAAATGTGGACAGTGGTGGGGGTGTTGGGGGGAGTGAAAATGATTTTCTCTTAACTGAGCATGACAGTTCAAATGAATTTGGGGCTTACAAGCAAACTTTTGACAACTAATGTGCAACATTTGCCCCGAACTTTGCTGCTTCGCACTCTGACTGAATGAGTTTGCTCTTGCCGAGAGTTATGCATTTATAAATACATTTATGCCAATATATTTGCATGTCATAAAGTGTAATAAAAGGGTTTGCTAAGCCAAGATAAATCACTTATTGCTACTACAGACTATGAAGTCTGATGGATTTAGTGCCATCCTGTGGGGGAAAGTGAACATAATTTCCCAAATTTGAACAAAAACAACTCAAATAAAACTAAATCATCTTTGTCTTATAAATCTAAATTCAGTAATTCATATCTGATACTAAACCTGGTTGTGTTCTCAAATGTATTCATAGTATAATGTGCAAGGCATACACGTGCATCACACAGTAATTATGAATTTATGCACGGGAACAAGCATTCAGGTTGTAGCACAAACAAATGCTCATTAATTACCATGTCATTACTGTTGGGATGTATCAGTGATTGAATTCTTGTTAAAATACGGTTGAGTACTCAGCATCTCAATAAAAATATATTTAATATTTGACCATTCTTTAATTTAGATTCTATAGAGTAGTTTCAAGCTTTAATATGAGCGACTTTTCATAATTCCAGCTTGTAACATTTCCTTTAAACTCATGGTTGTCATTTTTTTCCTCGTTCACACTGGTTGACTGTGAATGATGTGCTTTACAAAAAAAAAAGGTTGATTTTTATTTTTTAAGTTTAAATTTACCTAAAATGTTTTCACAGTAGCCTGACTTTTATTAGAAAAGAACACAAAGATTTACAGTTATTGTTTTTTTTTTTTTTTTTTTACTTTAGTGAGGAATAGTTTATTCAGGATTTAAACGGGAGTATAAATAATTCAAGGCGGTTGACCAAAGAGCAACACTGACACCTACCGGCCATTATAGGAATCAGGAATATACCATATTGTCACGTGTTTGCAAGTGCTTAACGTTTCCAAAAATCAGCTTTAATTTGAGATTTTCAATTTTACTGTTAATATAAAATCATTCTACCAAATAACATACATGTCTATTTGAATTAATTAATAGGTTAAAACTATATAAGCAAACATCCTCCTCCGCATTTTCCCCACACACTTTGGTTCAGTCCAGCGCCTAGAAACCGGAAGTAGATGTAAATGTGTACAATGTGAGTCAGATGACTTCCTTCACCAGGCTATAACAGAATGGTACTGCAGTTAAAATGTAAAATTATCGTATATATATATATATATATTAAAAGAATGAGCTAAGTTTAGTTACAGGTAGTCTCGCTGTGCTAAATAGTTTTCTGTCACGGTTAGCCCCCAGTTAGCCTAGCCTAACGAGCTTGTTGAGCTAACTAGCTAAGCTAGCTGCTTTACAGACAGAAAATCTGTTTATTTATCAAGTTATATATTTCGCTATTTCACCTAATTAGAACAGCAGTCATCGGAGTGACAGGTCATGGAGAAAATTGTTAAAGGTAAGTTAAATTTATTGCAAATTAAATCACTAACTTGCATTAACTACTGATATGTGTTTTGAGGGACTTGTAATTTGACGTTTTATGTAAAACTGCATCTTCTCCCTCAGGTTTTACTGTAAACTGTATTTAATGTGAGTCTCGTTGGTTCTGTAGATGTGGGTGATATTCAGTCCAGACTGTTGGACCACAGACCTGTCATCTCTGCAGAAGCTCGCTACTTTGTCAGAGAGTTTGAGGTATTTAAGCACTCATCACCTCATGGTTCTGTTTATATGCTCAGATGTATTGTGATGTCACTGATGTGTCTGAATCAGAACCTCTGTGAGACGGTGAAGACTTTGTGCATAATTTGACTTGAGACCCGTAGGCTGGGTTGCAGAGGCAACAGGTCCAAGAGAGAAACCTTCCTTTTCACCAGCAACACATTTTAGTTCCTCCTGCCACACCCCAAGGCGTTCCCAGGCCGGAGAGGATATATAATCCCACCTGTGAGTTTTGGGTCTGCCTGTGAGACGTGCCCATGAAACCTGCAAAGGGATTCGTCCAGGAAGCGTTTTAATCAGATGTCCAAACCAGCTCAACTGACTCCTTTTAACGCAGAGGAGCAGCATTGAGCTTCCCCGAATGATGGAGCTCCTCCGCACCCCATCTGTAAGACCGAGCCTTAATAGAACGTGCTGCAAAAAAATCAGAGGTCAGCATTATCATAAGATGCTCCCGTGGTCTCATCACTCATGATTAGCGATTAGCAGAAATATTAAATGTAACTCTGAAGCAGATGTTTTTGTTTTATTCTTTGGTGAAATTCTTTTTGATATTGAGTCACTTCCTTTATCAAGTTCTCAGAAGGATTCCAGAATGAGATATCTGAGTAAGGTTTCTCATCATGAAATTGTCTCTTCGTATAAACAAGACACTAAAAATAATACTTATATATATGTTTGTCTGGAGGAATAAATATTTCTTTGTGAATTCAAGTAAGCGTTTGTTTGTATTTCCCATTCATTTACTCTTTTGCATCTTAGTCTATGAAGAAGAACAAGAAGCCACAGTAATTTATCCTACAGTGAAAGAGTTCAGATGTATTTTATAAGATAAGCATGTATCAGATTTATTTCCTATTGATATAAAGCACATTTTGACCATAAATTGCTCCTTTTCAGGAGAAACGGGGCTTTAGGGAGAGCCGGCTGCTGGAGAACCTCAATAAAATGGTGCAGGAGTCAAACGAACAAATGGTGCTGGCAGTATCGGAGGAACGCAGCCAGCAGCTGTCTGACATCATTAAACGCTGTGAGTCTCCTCACCCTGAACCCTAGAAACTACACTGTGTATATTGTGTGTTATATAGGATCACAGCAGCTGTTTTTCTTAAAAAGACCCTTTTCGATGAGTTATAATGGTAACTGTGGCAGTGGTGAAGACTAACCATGTTTCCCACAGTGGAGGCTGCTAATCACATGGCAGAGAGAATCCAGCAGAGGGAGCTAGAGGCTCAACAGGTACTTTCATGATGTTCTGCTCTGTTCTCTCATCATGTGTTAAATATTGTAGTTCATGTCCTCCTCGTGTCCTCGCAGGGCGTCCAGCTGCAGGCGAACATGGAGAAATTAAAGGAGGACTGGACAGAGTTTCTGAAGGAGCAGCAGAGGTTAAAGGAGGAGGTGGACGAGGAGCACGCCAAGGCTGTGGGAGAGCTCAGCACTCGGTTTAATGAAAAGAAGAAGGAGTTGGCTCAGTTTTCATTCAGCTGAGTTCATGGATGAATTCAGTCAGCACCTTGGTAGTAAAGTGCTAATTAAACTACAATAACTGTTACCGTGCTTTGCAAGGCAGGTGCGCTTTTTATTTATAGCACAACACGTGACGCCCAAAAACCTTTTGTTTCTGATTCTGCTTTTATTTTGAAAGGATGATGAACTGGTTAGCCTGTACCTTTCCATGTTGATCCATCTGACAGGAGACTGCAGGTTTTTATCCAGACCACGAGAACGTGCTGATTTATTTTAAACTAAAACATGAATCAGGTAATTGTCCGTCATCACAAGGAGCTTCAATCATTAGTTCTTGTTTAGATGAACGTGTTAAAGCGATTTTTTTTTATATCGGGCGCACTCTCCTTAAATGAAGAAGGCTGGTGCGTTATTTCTGCGCTGTCACAAACTGGTTGTGTATAATAATTATATTCATGTTCTATAATAATTAGCAATGAATGTGTAAGTCTAAATAAATGCTTTGTGAAAAGCAGCTCCTGCTTTTCAAGCTGCTCTGAGCAGCCGAGGTTAACGTTCAGCTTTAGTAACAGGAAGCAGAACACTTTTTTTTTTTAAATTACACAAAACTTCAGAGAATTGAATTGTGTGGCAAGAACAGGAACATTTCATTACTGTGGTCACAACAGCAGGTCTGGATATGTGTTAAATGCAGAGTGTGGTTTAACAACCGTGTGGAACAAGCCCCGGCTGTAGAAACTTCTCCATCGTTTAGAAGAGTGTTGAGTTCCTCGACAACAGGAAGACGAGATGTGAAAAAACAAAAAACTCTGCATTAAAAAAAGTCTCTGTGGACATTATTATAAATTATAATAACGAGTGATTGATCCACGTGAAGTGCAGAGAACACTTAGAGAAAAAACATTTAAAGTCTTGGATCTTTAATTACATCTTGATTTGAGCGTAGAGCTCCTCTGGACCTCCTGCAGTCTGAGTGGAACAGTTTCCAGGTGTGGACAGTTTGACCTGTGCGTACACCGTCTCCTGCTGTCCTCCGTCCTGCTCTGAGGCGGAGGAAGCTTCAGGTCGATTCTTGAAGAAGCTCACGTCTCCGTAATGGAGTTCTTCCTCTGCTCCACTGGCTGGTTTTTGTTTGGCAACCTCCTCAGCTCTTTGACTCTGAGGAGGAACAAAACTCTTACTGGTCATGTTGATGATGTCACAAACCTACAGATTAAAGCTCGGAACACAGAGGCTCAACGTTTAACCACCTGAGTCTCCGGTGGAGTTCGGCGTTTGGACTTGAAGCACCTGCAAGATAGAGAGCAGTCAGAAGACCAACATCTTCTACATTATTCCACAAACATAATCCTGAAGGGAACAGATGAGCAAGTTGCTGTTCGTTTAGTTTGGACTTTCCTTAAAAACCAAGAGAACAGAAGGTGAACAATCGGACTGAGACCAACAAAGCATTAACATGAAGATGATCCAGAAGACGGTGGGTGAGACAACAAAAGACACAGGTTCACTGAAGATCTGTGACAAGAAGATGATCGTGATGGATTTATTTTTTTTACTGTTTGATAGTTTTGTGTTGTGTTTTAATTTTCCCGCCACTTTGCTACAAAAAAAAAAAATCCCTAAGGGGACAATAAAAGTGATGATGATGATGATGATAGCCACAGATGTGCTGCAGCAGCTTCACACGTGCAAATAAAACTAGAACCATCATGACATCATAGCAAACGCTATGTTTACCTCGTCATCTCACATTTCCGCCCTTCAACCAAATATATATATATATATATATATATATATATATATATATATATGCCTATAGCAGCATAACAAGCCATCCCTAACTATAGGATTTATCAAAAAGGAAAGTCTTCAAACTGGACGATGTGTCGGCCTCACGGACAGAAACTGGAAGTTGGTTCCACAAGAGAGGAGCCTGAGAACTGAAAGATCTTCCTCCCATTCTGCTTTTGGAAACTCTAGGAACCACGAGTAAACCTGCAGTCTGAGAGAGAAGTGTTCTGTTAGGAAAATATGGAACAACAAGATCTGTAATACAAGATGGAGCTAGGTTGTTGAGAGCTTTGTAGGTTAGAAGTAAGATTTTGAATTCTATTCTGGATTTGACAGGGAGCCATTGGAGAGAAACTAAAACTGGAGAGACATGATCTCACCCATTAACTCCATTTAAGACTCTGGCAGCAGCATTTTGGATCAATTGAAAACTTTTTTTAAAAGTTTTTGGACACCCAGATAACAAACCACTGCAATAGTCCAGTCTAGACATGATAAATGCATGAACCAGTTTTTCTTCATCATTTTTAGATCAGATGTTTCTAATCTTTGTGATATTACGCAGGTGGAAGAAGAAGGTTCTAGTAACATTTTTAATGTGGGAGATAAATGACGTGTCCTGTAAGGTTCGTTTCACGGAGCAGGTGAACAAATGAAAGTCAGATTCGAGTTACAAGTGGTTTGTATTAAACTGATCAAATCAGACGGAGATGTCTTATGAGCTCACCTTCATGTAAAACATCACCGAGATGAACCACATTTAATTTGGAGCTTCTGTTTCTGATACTCACCAAACGGAAACAACCAAACAGATGAGCAGAATGATTCCAACTGGAATTGCCACCAAAACCCGGAGTTCATTCGATGAACCTCACAGACACAAACAAAACGTTAATAGTTACAGCAATTATTAATATACTGTAGTTTGAATGTTTAAAGTGTAGTAAACTACCTTCAACAGTAAGAAGAACCACAGGGGACGTCTGGTTACCCAGATCATTCAGAGCCTCGCAGTAAAACTGTCCATCAACAGAAGCACTGAAACTGTAAACCTGACCCACAGAAACTTTGGTGAATCCCTCTGAGCTGTTCCTGAACCAGGTGAAGGTTCTGGCAGGAGGCTTGGCTCTGCTGGAGCAGCTCAGCTCCACCCAGCTACCTGCTGACACCACACCTGATGGACTGATGGATGCTGAGGTGTTTTTAGGAGCATCTGAGGAGAACGGGTCACACATTAACTTCATTCATCAGAACCAGCTGAACCGTGACGGGTCCACAGGATCACTTACAGGAAACACTGAGAGTCAGATTTGTTTCTGCTGTCTTGTTACGTTGCCCTCCATCCACAGGATATCTGACAGAACATGTGATGTTGTCTCCATCATGTGTGTCTGACAGAATCATGTTCTCCTGGATTTTAGTTGTAAACGTTCCATCTGGGTTCTTCTCTGTTCTCTGAGAGTCTTGTTGGAGACTCCAGGTGAGTTCAGGAGGTGAGTCTGGACAGGGAGTCTGAGCTGAGCAGGTGATGGAGACAGACTCCTCCTCCTTCAGATCACCTGAGACTTTAATGCTGGGACTCCAGGCAGAATCTGGGATTTCACATCAAACATGTTTTAACAGCAGAAATAAAAAAAACAGTTTATGGAACCACTTAACATTAAGTTATGCCTTTATAAAGTATTAATTTTGTTTCTTGAACAGGATACTTATCCACTTTAAATTCTTTATAAAGCATTTTTTTTAATGTATTTAAAAAACGCTGTTCATCCATTAAAGCAGCGTAACTTTTGGCACAAACATTGAACGTGGTTTAATTTCTCACTAGCTGCTACTTTTACTCATCATTTTACTTATTTTTATAATATTGCTGCACATATTTTACTCATTTAACCTACTTAGTAAAGATGTGATTGACATGTTCACTTTCAGCTTTAAAGTCAGACAATTAATTAGAATTTAGCCGATTATATTTTTTGCACGATTCATCCATTTTTAGCCCCTATGATAATAGATAAGTTGTTTGTTTCATCAGTAGTTACAAGCAAGGGCAGATTTAAAATATCCTTCAAGTATTAACTCTACATTTGGCAGATTTTAATCTGAACGTTCAAATGAAATGAACCCTCCTGCTGGCCCTGGGTCCAAACGACTACCGGTACTAGTGTGGGCCATTTTGACCCAAGGACAGCAGGAGTTAAATCACAGAATTCATTTTTTTTTTACTGGTATTGTCATCACAGACCCATCAGACACAAACGTTAGGGTTGACATCCTGATGCTCAATAATCCAGGTAGAAAAATCTAAAAAAGTTAAATCTGGCCCTCTGGACATTCAATGGACATGCCAGGGAGACAGAAAAGTGGGTGAAGGATTTATCTGACAGACAGCTCACCCAGCCGGAGACAATGATTCTTGCCAGGGGACTGAACTTTGCGGTTGCACCAAGTACAATTCCTCTGGTGGAGATGATCACAGCTACTGAGTCAGCCATCCGCAACAACAAAATGAAAGAGGCTGAAGCAGAACAGCTCAGAATCAAAGTTTCATCCTGCCTCAGCAATGCCAAACCACCACCTTCCAACATCAGTAGAGAGGAGAGGGATGCACTCACCACTCTTAGCAAGGACAAGAACATCATCATTCTCCCAGCAGACAAAGGAAGGTGCACAGTGATTTTGAACCAGAAAGACTATCATGAGAAAGTTATGACACTCCTTAGTGACTTAAACACTTATGAACCTCTGAAAAGAGATCCAGGAAGTGGTTACAAGAAGAAATTGATAGATTGCCTGAAAAATTTGGAGCAGGACAAGGCTATTGACCGTTTTCTGTACCACAGACTGTACCCAGGGGAGGCCACACCTAGTCTGTATGGTTGACCTAAAATCCACAAACAAGGTGTACCTTTAAGACCAATCGTTAGCATGATTAACTCTGTCACTTACAATGTTTCCAAATATCTGGCGTCTGTACTCATCCCTTTAGTTGGCAGCTCAGACACCACATACAGAACACCATGGACTTTGTGGATAAGGTGAGGGATGTCATCATGGAGACTGATGAAACAATGGTCTCTATTGATGTCACATCACTCTTTACGTGCATTCCTGTTGATGATGCAGAAGAGGTGGTCAGTTTAAAATTAAAATCAGACACCACTCTGAGCAGCAGGACCACGCTTTCCACAGAACAACTGTGTCAACTCTTGAAACTGTGCCTGCAGTCAACCTACTTCACATATGGGGAGCAATATTATAGGCAGAAACATGGGTGTGCTATGGGGTCTCCAGTTTCTCCTATTGTTGCCAACCTGTACATGGAGGAGGTAGAAAAGAGAGCCTTGACGTCCTTTTCAGGGACACCACCAAGTCATTGGTTCAGGTATGTTGACGACACCTGGGTTAAAATTAAATCTCAGGAAGTCCAACATTTTACTGACCACATCAACTCTGTGGATAAATACATCAAGTTCACACGAGAAGATGTAAAAAATGGCAGGTTGGCTTTCTTGGACTGTGAGGTCTCGGTCTCTGATAGAGGACATTTGCAAACCGAGGTGTACCGCAAACCCACCCACACAGACCAGTAGTTGCAGTTTGACTCCCATCACCCTTTGGAGCACAAGTTAGGAGTCATCAGGACTCTGTATCACAGAGCAGACAGCATCCCCACTAGCTCAGGAGCCAGGCAGAAGGAGAAATCCTACACAAGACAGGCTCTAGAGCAATGTGGATATCCTAACTGGGCCTTCCTGAAAGCAGAGAAGAAACCCAAACAGGACTCCAGTCAGCCAACAGGTGAAAAGGAGGAACCCAGACCAGTGGTCATTCCATATGTTGAGGGGGTATCAGAGAAACTGAGACGTTTATTTTCTAAACATAACGTCCCAGTGGCTTTTAAACCCCAAAATACATTACGGCAAAGACTGGTTCATCCCAAAGATCCAGTCCCCCGGCACAAACAGAGTAATGTTGTATATGCTGTTCAGTGTCAGGAGGGTGATCAGTCTTACATCGGGGAAACTAAACAGCCACTGGCCAAAAGGATGGCCCAGCACAGAAGATCAACATCATCTGGCCAGGATTCTGAGGTCTACACTCATCTCCAGGCCAGCGGTCACTCTTTCAGGGATGAAGATGTTCACATCCTGGACAGAGAGGAACGATGGTTTGAGAGAGGAGTAAAGGAGGCCATCTTTGTGAAAAGAAACCGTCCATCATTAAACAGGGGTGGAGGCCTCCAGGTTCAACTGTCCCCCTCTTACAATGCTGTGATTGCTAGTATCACTCAGCCCTCTGTGAGTAGTAAACAGCCATCAGGTGCTAATGATCCATTGTTAGGCTGATGGTCCTTCTTGAGCATGTGATCAGCTGGTTCTGGTTGTCAGCAGCAAAACTGGTTGATCCACTCTGAGAAGGTGCTATTTAAGAGACTGAGCTGAATACAGCACCTCAGACTGAGGAAGTCTCTCGGATGAGACGAAACGTTTCTATATTTTTTTGTCTGTTTGTTTTTTGAATGTCCAGATGACCAGATTTAACTTTTTTAGGTTTTTATCCAACACGTATTTTCAGTGTTCATGTTTAATAATAATTTGAGGTAAAAAAAATAAAAATCTTACCGTTAACTGTTATTTGAAGAGGATCACAGACAGCTGTTGCCCTGAACTGTTCGTTCTCCACTCTGAAGAAATAGTCCCCTGAATGACTCGTGTTTAGTCCAGAAAACTCTGACGTGCAGCTTTTCTCTTTCAGGTTTCCTATCATGTTGACTAAAAAGGTTTTAACTCTATTTCTATTGTCAAAAATGCCATAATCTCGTTTAATCCAAGCTGCAGAAATCATTTTGCTGCTCTTAAATTCATCAGCTGTGAAGTTACATGGGATTTGTAAACACGTTCCACTCAGAGCTTCCAGCTTTGGTGCAGAAATGAAGACTTTGGGCTCAAATCCTTCACAAATTGCAGCTAAAACTCCTGTAAAATCAGATTATTGATGAACGAAATGTGGAGCAAAACCTGCTTGAAAACACAATTTACAAAACTCAAACTTTAGCGCAGCTGAGGCGCTGCTATGCAGAGCCTAATAAAACATTTTAATCCGTAATGTGTTTAAATAAAGTGAGGAAACAGCTGACCTGGAGGACAGAAGATGCTCAGGAACATGTCGACTGTCAGCACGGTCACACACAGAGCTGCCGACAAACTCCTCATCTCAACGACTGTGAGCAAAAAACACAACTGTTGCCTTTCAGTCCCGACACCGACTCACTGAGCTCAAGCAAACGGATAAAATGAACAATAAATTAGATTAAACTGTCTTTCTAACAAACGTGAACATTTTCTCACCAAATGAATCTGCAGCTAGAAGAGAAACGAGTGACTTCTGGTAAGGTGAGAATTAAAGTTGAATAAATTCTGACTTAAAACCAGACAAACACCGTCATCCTTCCTTAATTTTAAAAGAGGATGTCCGCCTTTTTAACCATCTATTTCTCACCGAGTTGTGAAAAACTGAACTGTTGTGAAGTCAAAATAAAACCTGTTGTCATCTCCTGCCTGTAGAGCAGCAAACTGGATCATTGGACAAATGCGACGTTAAGAACATTTCAAAACAGGTTTTTTTTTAAGAAGTGAAACAATTGAAGTTCAGCAGACAGATTTAGAGCAACAAGTCAGTATTTATTCACTCCAATCTATTGATACACCCTGGATAGGTTGCTATGGCAACATAGAGACAAACAAGACAATCATGCTCCATCTCCATCGTCTGGTCGCAGAAGCAACAGATCCAGGAGAGAAACCCAGACCTCCCGCTCCCTAACGACACTCCATCTCCTCCAGGGTGACCCCAAGGTGTTCCCAGGTCAGACAAGACCCTCTAGTGAGTTCTGGGTCTGGCCCCGTGGCCCAAAAAACCTCTTCCTGGAGGCATCCAAATTTTATACCTGAACCTCTTCAACTGATTTGTTTAGATGTGAATATCTGGATCAGGGTTCTGCAACTTTTTACGATCACAAGAGCGCCTTCGTTCCCTAAATTTATCATGTCCGGAGCTGCAACAGCAGCTTTGATTGTCAACTGGTGGCCCATGGGCCGCTTTGGGTTTGTTGGAGGGGATCGTTGTGGCCAGAAGAGGCCACATATTATAAAGCTAAAAATATCTAATGATTTTTAACATTTATTGACGTTTTTACAATTTAAAACAAAATAAAAAACAGATTATTATAAAGAAGGGAAAATAAATCGTTTTTTTTAACCAATTATTTTAAAAAAAACTATGCAGACCTGTGATTTTTTTTTTTTTTAATAGTGGAAAAAATAAAGTATAGAAATAAAGCATAAAGTTAAAGTGAGTATGATTTACTTCTTGTATTAGTTCTAGTGTTCACATATTTAAAAAAAAAAAAATGCTAATGCTAGCTTTTTTGTTGTTGGTATAACAACCAATAAAGTTCTGATGCAGCTCAATAATCCAGAAAGAAAAACCTTACAGGTAATCTGGACAGATTCTTAAAGACCTGACTTAACTTTGTAAGAACAGCCAATAAAATTCACTTTTACGGTAGTTTTGCTCAAAGCTTGAACGA